CCACAGCGCCAGTCATTTTTTTTTGGTTGCAGCCATCATTGTTCTTTGGCGGGCCCGGGCTGGGGATTTGAACCTGCCACCTTAGGTGTATGTGGCTGGCACCTTAGCCAATTGAGCCACAGGCGCTGAGCCAGGCGCTGCCATTTCTATATTTTTTTAAGTAATGTACAGAGCTGCATAAACTCAACATTAAGGCCAGGAGCAGGGGCTCATCCCTATAATCCCAGCACTTTGGGAGGTTGAGGCAGGAGGATCACTTAAGGTCAGGAGTTCAAGATCAGCCTGGGCAACTCAGTGAGACCCAGTCTCTATAATAAGCTAAAAAATAGCCCAGAATGGGGCACACACCAGTAGTCCTAGCTATTTGGAAGGATCACATGAGACTGCAGCAAATCAAAGAAAAAAGGTGCTAACTCAGTTACCTTTACTTAGAGCTGTGGTTCTCAACCTGTGGGTCACGGCCCCTTTGTAACAATGAAAATACACCCTGTATATTAGATATTTACATTACAATTCATAACAATAGGAAAATTACAGTTATGAAGTAGCAACAAAAATAATTTTATGGTTGGGGGTCACCACAACATGAACTGTATTAAAGGGTCACAGCATTAGAAGGCATTAGGAAGGTTGAGAACTACTGACTTAGAGCAATGGTTTTCTTTCTATTTTTTTTTGAGACAGAGCCTCATCACAGCTCACAGCAACCTTCAACTCCTGGGCTCAAGTGAGTCTCCTGCCTCTGCCTCCCAAGTAGCTGGGACCACAGGTGCCCGCCACAATGCCTGGCTATTTTTTGGTTGTAGCCATCATTGTTGTTTGGCAGGCCGGGCTGGATTCGAACCCACCACCTTAGGTGTATGTGGCTGGCGCCTTAGCCACTTGAGCCACAGACGCTGAGCCAGAGCAATGGTTTTCAATCTTGCCTCTACATTGCAATCTCTTGGACAGTTTTAAAATACACTGATGCCTACATTCTCTCCAATTGCACTAAGAATCTGATTTATTTGAGGTACAGGAATCAGAAATTTTAAAAGGTCTCCAGATGATTTTGATGCGCAGGCAAGAGTGAGAATCCCTGATGTAGAGGAACCTTCCAGCCCCTGGAAAACTATAATTTGTTAGCATTGAAAGAGGTTGTTTCCTTTTTAATTTGCTCAGGATGACTGAAATATGAAAAGATTAGACAAGCTTATTTCCCATAAAATGGGCAAAAGCAAGATCACTGTCAAGAGAATAATTTCCGGCTCGGCGCCTATGGCTCAAGTGGCTAAGGCACCAGCCACATACACCTAAGGTGGCGGGTTCGAATCCAGCCC